GAGTCTCTCACTGAGGCTGCCACTGACATGGTCCAGATGAATCAGTGGATGATACAGGGCCTGTGTCCATCAGCAGCTCTCCCTGGCACGCTGACTCTCGGAGACTCAGGTGGTAGCCCCAGATGTATGCTGGCTGCCTTAGAGATGGCAGCCGCCTAGCTCTGAGAGTTACAGCCTCTTGTTGTGTCACTTCCTAGTCTTTCTGATCTGTCCGTTGTCCTTCAGAAAGTTTCCTTACTCTGTGACTTCCTTCCACAGCGTTAGCTTCAGTGCTCCCTGGCTAAGCTGCTTTTGACATCATGGAAGGATGTATCATGAAGAAAGACTACCGACTCTATAATGCAAGAGTGTACCTTGAGAGAGGAAACAAAATCTCCATGCCTTCCTCAGTCAGGCCTCTTGGAACACCCCTCCCCCCGTCCCCTCCTGTCGTCCGTTGCTCACCTAACTCCAAATGTTCCAGACCAGAGGGCTGGGAGATCTCTTTGTAGGGCACATCCATTGCTCATTTCCTCTCTTCTAAAACTCTTGGTCTGTAGCCCATGGCCCATCTTAACCCAGGACATTGTTTTCCCTCAGTGAGGCATTGTAATGATGTGTGCATCTCACAGGCCAGTCTGTTAGGTAAGCCAAGTGAGGTGGCTGCTTGTGCCCCAAGATAGACCTGAGCGAGGTCATGCTCCACAGGGCAGGGACCATGCTAGTGTTCTTTAACATCATGAAATTTTTTCTGTGTGTCTGTTTATAACACTATCCAAAAATGTCTATGAGAGGTGCCAGTACCTCTTATAGAGGCGTTAGAGCCCATACCATGGGCTCTCCTGGCATTTTTTCGTTTCCCCAGACCCATACGCTCCTAGAGATGGTTCTGACATACTGATAACCTAAAATTATGTCTGTTGAAGACTGTTGTTGTTGTGTGCCATCAAGTCAATTCTAACTGATAGCAATCTTATAGGACAGAGTAGATTTGTCCCATAGGGTCTCCTAGGCTGTAATCCTTATGGGAGCAGATTGCCAGGTCTTTTTTCCTGCAGAGCCACTGGTGGCTCCTTTCACTTAGCAGCTGAGCACTTAACCATTGCACCACCGGGGTTAGGTACCCTAAAAGTCTTCCCTGTGTTAGAATATAACGTCCGTGTTTTTAGTACCACTTCAGTTTGTTCATCTTTATATCCCCAGCCCTAGAAGAGTGCTTGTCTTTGAGCAGATAAACAAAAATCATTTACTGAATGATTAAATGACTGATAGGTATGGGTGCCGTAGTGTCTCATCTATTACATGGTATTTGTTTATACTTCTTCAAACACCTAAAAATGTTTAGAAATACCCTCAACCATGCTGACTGATCGCACATTTATGATCCCAAAATTTACTTCTTATTACGTTTCACTGGTCGGTTTCGTTTCCTAATTTGTTCTTACCTCATTTTTCACTGAGGAAAGTAGAAGCAATGAAAAGAGAACTTCCACATGATGAATCCACCTGTGTCTGTATTTTCGTTCTATATTAATCAGTGTAATGTCCATGATCCTATATAAGACCAATCCTTTTACTTATACATGGCATTCCCTTTGCTTTTATTTTTTTGGAACATTTTGTTGTGCTGTAGGTGCAAGTTTACATAGCAAATTCGTTTCCCGTTTAGTAATTCATACACAAATTGTTCTGTGCTGTGGTTGCAATCCCCCCAATATGTCAGCATTCTCCTCATTTCCATCTGATTTCCCTTCCCCTCCCTCCCTTCTCAGTTTTGCTTTTGGGCAAATGTTGCCCATTTGGTCTCATCTAGTTGATTGCTCTAAGGAGCACTTTCCTTAATTTATAGGCCTTTCTGTTATTTGACTGGAAGGTGATCTCCAGGAGTGGCTTCAGTTCCAAGTTAGAAGGGTGTCTTAGAGCTATAGTCTCAGGGGTTCCTCCAGTCTCTATCAGACCAGTAAGTCTGGTCTTTTTTATGAATTTGAATTTTGTACTACGTTTTTCTCCCACTCTAACTGGGACCTACTATTGTGTTCCTGGTCAGAGTAGTCACTAGTGGTATCTTGGCACCATCTAGTTTTTCTTGTCTCAGGCTGGAGGATGCTGTGGTTCACATGGGCCATTAGTCCATTGGACTAATTGTCTCCTTGAGTCCTTGGTTTTCTTCACTCTTCTTTGCTCCAGAGGGGAGGAGACCAATAGTTGTATCTTAGATGGCCGCTCGCAAGCTTTTAAGACCCCAGACTCGACTCACCAAAGTAGGATGTAGAACATTATCTCTGTGCACTATGTTATGCCAATTGACGTGAATGTCCCCTGAGACTATGGTTCTTAGCCCTCAAGCCCAGTAACTCAGTCTCATGACGTGACTAAGAAATTTCCTTAACTGTGCCCTGTATGTACTCTATTATAAATATATATATGAATATACATGCAGCATATACAAATATATATGTAGAAATATCCACAGCCATACTTATATATGCACAGGGATGTACTCCTGTATGACTTCCCATGCCTATTTAGCACACGTTATCTACCTATGTATTCACTCATAAATTATTGTTTGCTATTACCGTTGCTGCAAGAGTGTGTATGTTAAAGTATTTATCATAGTTGCCTTTATTCTTGCATACCTTTCAGTGCCCTTCACTTTTAATTTATCAAGGACATCACTCCTATGTTGTCCCACCTCGATTTTACATCTAAATATGTCTTTCTCCATTGGATCAACCCTATTACTAGTACTAGTTGCCATAAGGTTGATCCAATGGAGAAAGAGATATTTATCAAAAAGAAAAGCTGTGAAAACCACAACCCTGATCTAGTAACTAACACTTTTGGTTGATTCTACAGAAGTCACTCATGTGCTGTAAACCCACTGCCATCAAGTTAATTCTGACTTACAGTGACCCCACAGGGTTTCCAAGGCTGTAAATCTTTACAGAAGTGGACTGTCACATCTTTCTCCCACGGAGCAGCTGGTGGGTTCAAACCACAGACCTTTTGGTTAGCAGCCACGCGCTTTAACCACTGTGACACCAGGCTCTTTTCATTTGCTGTACCCAATCACAAATCCTATACACATCCCAGAAGCATATAATTCCATTTTACTTGTCTTTTAATTTATATTAATACATATAAATGCAATTTTATATATGGCTTCTTTTATTCCACATTACATTTAAGTTTCCTCCATGTTATTGTGTTAAGCCATACTTCATTCCTTTCCATTGTTCTGTAGTAGTATTTGTGTGAATCCTTCACAATTCACTATCTGTTCTGTTATCTGTGAAGACATGTTGTTGTTGTTGTTAAGGGCCCTCGGGTTGGTTCTGACTCATAGCGACCCTGTGTACAACAGAATGAAACACTGCCAGGTCTTGTGCCATCCTCACAATCGTTGTTGTGCTTGAGCCCATCATAGCAGCCACTGTGTAAATCCATCTCATTGAGGGTTGTCTTAGCCATCTAGTGCTGGTGTGACAGAAATACCACAAGTGGATGGCTTTTAACAAAGAGAAATTTATTCTCACAGTCTAGTAGGCTACAAGTCCAAATTCAAGGCATCAGTTCCAGGGGAAGGCTTTCTCTCTCTTTCGGCTCTGGAGGAAGGTCATTGTGATGTATCAGTCTTCCCTTGGTCTGGGAGCATTTCAGCGCAGGAACCTCAGGTCCAAAGGATGCTCTCTGCTCCCAGAACTGCTTTCTTGGTGGTATGAGGTCCCCATGTCTCTCTGCTTGCTTCTGTCTTTCCATATCTCAAAAGAGATTGGCTTAAGACACTATCTAATTTTCTGGACCTCATCAATATAACTGCCACTAATCCATCTTATTACATCATAGTGATAGAGTTTACAACACATAGGGAAATCACATCAGATGATAAAATGGTAGACAATCATACAATACTGGGAATCATGACCTAGCCAAGTTGACATATACTGTTGGGGGACACAATTCAATCCATGACAATGGTCTCCCTCTTTTTCTTTGACCCTCTAATTTACCAAGCATGATGTCCTTTTGCAGGGACTTATCCCTCCTGATAACACGTCCAAAGTATGTGAGACGAAGTCTCGCCATTCTCGCTTCCAAGGAGCATTCCAGCTGTACTTCTCCAAGATAGATTTGTTCGTTCTTTTGGTAGTCCATGGTATATTAAATATTCTTCACCAACACCATAATTCAAAGGTGCCAGTTTTTCTTTGGTCTTCCTTATTCATTGTCCAGCTTTTGCATGCATATTAGGCTTGGGTCAGGGCACTGTCTTAGGCTGGGTTCTCTAGAGAAGCAAAACCAGTAAAGTGTATAAATATATATATATAGAGAGAGTATATCAAGGAAGCAGCTCATGTGATTGTAGAGGCTAGAACGTCCCAAGTCCGTGGATCAGGGTAGAGGCCTCTCTCAAGTCACACAGCTGCAGAAGCTGGCAAGCCTAAGATCGGAAGGTCGGAGAGCAGGGCTCCCACTCACAGGCTGTGCAGATCGACGAATCCCAGGTTCGGCAGATAAGCTGACAGCTCAAGTCCCAAGAACGGGAGATGAGACGACAGGAAGCAGCCGCAGGATCCAGAGAGAGCAAAAAGCCAGAACGTCTGCTTATATACAGATGCGGGCCACACCCCAAGGAGACTCCCTTTCATCTGATTGGCTACTCACAGTATATTCAGTCATGGGAGTGATTACATTAAAACACTGAGAATCATGGCCCAGCCAAGTTGACACAATCTTAACCATCACAGGCACCTTAGTCCTCAAAGTGACATCTTTGCTTTTTAACACTCTAAAGAGGTCTTTTGCAGCAGATTCGCCCGATGCAATGTGTTGTTTGATTTCTTGACTGCTGCTTTCATGGGCATTGATTGTGGATCTAAGTAAAATGAAATCCTTGACAACTTCAATCTTTTCTCCGTTTATCATGATGTTATTTATTGGTCTAATTGTGAGGGTTTTTGTTTTCTTTATGTTGAGGTACAGTACATATTGAAGGCTGTAGTCCTTGATCTTCATCAGTAAGTGCTTCAAGTCCTCTTCACTTTCAGCAAGCAAGGTTGTGCTCTCAGCATATCACAGGTTGTTAATGAGTTTTCCTCCAATCCTGTTTCTGCATTCTTCTTCATATAGTCCAACTTCTCTGATCATTTACTTAGCATACAAATTGAATAAGTATGGTGCAAAGATACAACCCTGATGCGCATCTTTCCTGACTTTAAACCATGCAGTATCCTCCTGTTCTGTTCGAACGACTGCCTCTTCATCTATGTACAGGTTCTGCATGAGCACAATTAAGTGTTCTGGAATTCCCGTTCTTCACAGTGTTATCCAAGATTTGTTATGATCCACACGGTCAAATGCTTTCGCATAGCCAGTTAAACACAGGTAAACATCTTTCTGCTATTCTCTGCTTTCAGCCATGATCCATCTGTCATCAGCAATGATATTCCTCGTTCCACATCGTCTTCCGATTCTAGCTTGAATTTCTGGCAGTTCCCTGTCAATGTACTGCTGCAACTG